CGGCTCCTTCGATCTTCGGTTTATCCGGTGCTTTGTCGAATAACCGAGATTGTTCCGGCGCTGCGCTTCCGCTGTAAATTCTTCGTCCGAACTCGGATTTGAGTGATTCCAAGTGCGTTGGATGCTTGACGAAGAGTTCGATCCGCTCTGGTGGTTGGATTGTCTTTAGAGTGGTCAAGGCATGAAGGGCGTTGTCCTTTTTGTGAACATCGCCGGGTTCCCGATTGGCCCGGGTTTTCGTTGTTCCAAAATCCTATCAGCTCACGTAGCTCGTCGATTCACTTCAATCGTTCGTCGACGTCAATTGGACTCCTGTGGATCGAATAGTGACGTTCATCGTCGTTCTTTAACACTGAACCGTTCGTGGAGACCTATAGGCAATTTTCGATGCCTACAGTACCCAAACTCGTTTGGATCTCGGCGATCTCTTAACTGCCTCTTCCTTTTGCATTTCTCGTGCTTTTCGCACAAGGGCTCGGGCATGTGCAAGCAAGGTGCGGCGCTTCTTGATCCGCTCCTCGAGGGTGGAACGGGTCCTCTTGACACGAACCCACTTGTTCGTTTCTGTTTTGGAGGAGGAGTTGGTTGTTCGCCGTTGTTGTTCCCGGCGTTGCCTGGATTTTAGATCCACATCATAGCGGATCCCGTCCATTGACTCCAAAGCCTTGGCCAGCTGACGAGCAAGGCGTTGACGCCGTCTTTGGCGTGCTCTCTTTGATAATGCTGGAGCGTCTTCAGAAGCCATCTCCTCGGCGGAGGAGGAGTCCGGATCTGCGGTCTCAACCACGTTGGACGACGCGGGGATAGCATTTCTGGAAGATGAAGTCTTCCTACGCCTGTTTGGAGAGGCGGATCTGGAGGAGGAGGAAGAGAGGTACTCTTCAAACTTTTGTTGATCGAACTCGTATTCGATCTCTTCATTCACCCGGATCTTGAATGCCGGTTGCGTCACGACGGCCTCGGCAGCGAGGCCGTTGGCTCCCACTTTGGTCGCCAGTTTGTTTTCAGAAAAAGCTGCCTTCATCATTGATTTCATTAAACTTCAGTCGTTACAAATAAATTCAAATAACAAAGAAATAAAAAATTATAACTTTCTTGAAAATAAACGCAAGGTCCGTTTATCGTCTCTTGCTTGCGTGGGTCTTTGGCCTGTGACGGGGACGTTTATATCCGTGGACCACCTGGCACTCAAATCTGTTCCGAAAAAATCGGACAGAGCTTCGTTGATCCGCGTGAGATCTAGAAGCTTGAAGCGTCTATCTCGGCTAAAACGAGATATCTGCTCTTCTTAGTGATTACCGGCGAAGGGTAATACTAAGGAAAAGGGGGAACGGGTGATGAAGACCTCTCCTCTCCTCTGTTGAAGCGCTCGACCACTCTTCACTGCAGCAGGGCTTCGCCAACTTCTCCAAAAATCCAGCCCTTCAAAAATGAGGCCTTATGGGGCTATTTATAGGCAATGGGAGCACCTAGGGTGCCTAGACACCCCTGGGTGTCTCGGCTTGGCCGCAGACACCCCTGGGGTGTCTCGTTTGGCCGAGACACCCCTGGGGTGTCTAGGCTTTTCCTAGACACCCCTGGGGTGTTTCGACTTTCCCGAGACACCCCGGGTGTCCCAACTCAGCCTGAGACGCTCCGTTGCGTGTGTTTGATTGTTTTCGCCGTAAATTCTTCGTCCGAACTCGGATTTGAGTGATTCCAAGTGCGTTGGAAGCTTGACGAAGAGTTCGATCCGTTCCGGTGGTTGGATTATCTGTAGAGTGATCGAGACACGAAGTACGTTGTTCTTTTTGCGAACATCGCCGGGTTCCCGATTGGCCCAGGTCTTCGTTGTTCCGAAATCCTATCAGCTCACGTAGTTCGTCGATTCACTTCAATCGTTCATCGACGTCAATTGGACTCCTGTGGATCGGATAGTGACGTTCATCGTCGCTCTTTAACAATGAACCGTTCGTGGAGATCTATAGGCAATTTTCGATGCCTACATTCTTGAAATAAAATAAAGCATACAAGTTATGGAGGAAGCTCACCCAAATTAAAGCTTGACAACCCAAACTTGAAGGAGGAGAATCCAATACAAAAAAAACCCTTGAGCTCGAAGTTGATTTTTGGCCAAAATATGAGGGGTTTTAAAGGCTAAGAGGTTGAGGCTTTTAGGAATTTTTAGAGAGGAAAATTTGAAGTTTGGAAGTTATGGGTTTGGAGGAGGAAGAAGATAAGAATATGAGGGAGTTCAAAATTGAGTTTTGGAGGAAAGAGAGGGGGACACAAAGGACCCTTATACAAAACCCTACACCCATGCCCTAGGCCGACCTACTTCACTTTCTCTCTCCCTTATCTTCTTTCTCTCTCATGAACCCTCTCTCTCTTGCTTGGCCGAGACTGTCTCGGCCAAACCGATACTGTCCTGAGCCCAAGATTCTGTCCGAAGCTCAAAATTCTACCCCGAGCCCAAAATAGGGTCCCACACATCTAAAATATTGTATTTGGTTCGTATTCGCCTGTTATTGGCCATTACGGTGTATTCGAATCTCGTATTCACACTCCGATGAGTATATGAGTCTAAACTGCTTCTCCTTGAACCGATGGGTACACGAGGTTAAACTGATTCCCGAAACTCCCAGGAGTATATGAGTATAAACTGGTCCTCCTCGCTCCAACGCCTTAAGAGCCTAAACTGTGTAGACTTCAGTCAGCGTACGAGTATAAACCATATTTACGCCGGTCAACGCGTTGCAATGAAAGTCAATACCGGTCAATGCGCTACAATGAAAGTCAACGACGATCAACACGTTGCAATGAAAGTCAACACCGGTCAACGCATTGTAATGAAAGTCACGCCGGCCAAAGCATTGCAATGAAGGTCAACGCCGGTCAAGGCGTTGCAATGAAGGTGATCGCCGATCAACGTGTAGCCGTGGGTTAAATCCGGTCAATGCATTGCGATGAAGGTCAATGCTTCAACAGTTTGCGCCGAAACAAGGCTTGAATTAATCCTAAGTCAAAGGATAATTCCGAGGATTTCAACCATAACCCGGGTGTGAATCCCCAACGAAGATAATCAGTTCAACATTGACTCAATGATATGAGTTAAACACAACAATTTTAATTCGAGACTTCGACAACGGTTAGATGATAAACGCAGCACCGGAATAATTTTAGTTATTCAACAAACTACTGAGTAAACTAAAAATTGTAGAAGTTAAGAACTGAAGCCAATTATAGGTCCTTTTACGCTGACTGAAGGTTGGACCTATCACATCCAAAGTATTCCAGGCTCTTCTATAAAAGAAACTAGACTGAAAAACTTTGGAGGAGATATTTGTAGGCGTAAAAAATTGTCTACGGGTTACCGCACGCAACTCGAGGTGGAGAGAAGACAATGAACATCATTATCCGAGTCAAGGAGGATTATCTAACGTCAACAAATGCATGAAGCAAGTTGACCAGGCGTACGAGTCAATGAGACGGTCAAACGATGATGAAAAAACTCGATCGGGAGTTACGTTTTGACCGCAAAAGATGAGGCTCTATTCGTGTCTCGTCCGTTCCACATATGATTCACCTATGGGAGATAGTAGATCTTTTCCTCGGCTTTCTGAAGCACTTCGAATCACGTTGTTCCGAAACCGGATCGGAAAGTTACGACAAAAACAGTCAAAAAGGGGAAAACGGCATCTCGGCCATGGCCAAGACACAATCTTGGCCAAGGCCGAAACAGTCTCGGCCTGGCCAGGACTGTCCCGATTCTTCAATGTTAACTGCCCCGATTCTTCAATATTAACTGCCCCGATTCTGATCCAAAGCCTCTCCAACTGATTTGGAATTATCTTTGAACGTGGTTAAGTGGTTACAACTGAGAATAAGATCAAATAGTTCGTTCTTATCCGAAAACTGAGCTTCTAAAGCCTATAAATACAGCCCTAGGGTCTTCATTTATACAGATCCAGAATTCTCGACCGTCGGCGAAGCCCTGTCGAACTGAAGAGTGAGGAGCACAAATTTCAGAGAGGAAAGAGAGATCTCGGCGAGCTATTCAGCATAAAGAGGAAGAGTTCGAGAGATCTGTATTCGTTCATCCATTTTCTTGAGATCGTACATAGCTACGATTCTCGAGAAGAGTGATTATCTCGCGTTGCCGAGATAGTTACTTCAATTTCTTGTCTCCTTTGCGAGGCAAGAAATCTTTATATTGGATCTGATCAATCGGTGGTCCACAGATAAACCCCGGCACAGGCCAAGATCTCACGCAAACAGCGAGTGATAAACGTCCGTTGTGTGTGTTTTCAGAAAGTTGTAATTTTTATTTTTATTTGTTGAGATCATTGTAACGACTGAAGTTGTAATGAGTCCGTTAATAAAAAAACCAACTTTCCACCAAAACACACACCACACATAGACGTCAAATTATAGAGTATACAATATTACACTACATTATACATATTTCTTTGAGTATGATAATCTGTTGTATAATATTATTATAATATAATGTACAATATAATATAATTGTAAAATTTCAATAATTGGTAAAACTATCCATATAATATAAAATAGATGTATCTAATAATAATCAATTACGTTGATTTAATAAGATCTGCGGTTACGAAAAAAATTTGAAGAGTTGTAATTTATTTATTAATACATGCATGTGATGATGTATGTATATGTGTGTGATGTGATTATACATGGATGTGTCCATTTTATATGTACATTATATGGTTGAGAAGACATTTTTGAAAAAAATATTTTAACATACAAACACATTTTTGCAAGAGCTTTGCTTCAGGCACCCAAAATATGGGACCAATAGGGGGGACAAGTGAGGTGTCCCCCTCCTATTGGATAATGAGTTGACCATCTAATGATGGCGAACTCATTATCCAATAGGACGGGGACACCTCACTTGTCCCCCTATTGGTCCCATATTTTGGGTCCCAGTTCTTTGCAATAACATTAGATTGGTTACCAAATTTGCATTCCTCTTCACCTTTTTATTTTTAAACATTTCTTTCGCCTGAGTACTAAATTGAGCGGAGGCTTCTCAGTTCTCAGCCTTTTCTTCGGACGGCATCAATGCGAGCATTGTGGAGAAAGCTCGCTCTCCATTTTCAATCGTTTTCATCATCATCAACTTCCTCCTCCTCCAACGAAATCCCAGTCCTCTACTCCTTCCTCCAACCCTCAATCTTCCCTCTCCGCTCCAAAACCCCAACCTCCTATCCCTCCTCTCCCAATCCTAAAACCCTAACAACCCCAATTCCGCCCAAAACCCTAACCCTAGAATCCAAATCCTCCCTCCAATCCTCCCTCCATTCCTCTCTCCTCTCCCATCGTACCGACGACGCATGGCGATCCTTCAAAACCCTAACCTCCTCCCCCTACCTCCCCTCCCCTCACCTCTCCAACTCCTTAATCCTCCACCTCTCCTCTCTAAACGATCGCCTCAATCTCAAGCGAGCGTTCGCGTCGGCGATCTTTCTGATCGAGAGGAACCCGGAGTCTCTCTCCTTCGATACCCTCAAAGCCCTCTTCAGATCCTTCAATTCATGTAATGCTCCGGCCCCAGCTTTTGCCCTGATCAAAATCCTGCTTAAAAATCGAATTTTCCCGCCATTTGAGATTTGGGGTCGAGAATTGATACAGGTTAGCAGGCGGAATGGAGGGTTTGGGGCTTTTTTAAAGGTGTTTGAGGAGAACTGTAGGGTTTGTTTGGATGAGAAGGTTGATGGGATGAGGCCCGATTCGGATTCTTGCAATGAGATTCTTGATGGGTGTTGGCTTAGAGATTATGGGATCAGCTTTCGGATTGCGGCAAAGAGTGATGGAGGTTATGTCGAGTTTGCGGGTTGCGCACCAGATTCGAATAGTTTTGGGTCGCTTGCTTATTTGTATGCATGGAGAAAGCAAGAAAGCAGGACTTTGGAGCTGGATAGGTTGATGGATGCACTGGGTTATAAGGATAAGATGGTTTTCTCTAAGAATTTGATTAGTGGGTTTGTGAAAAGCTGCAACTTTGAAGAAGTTATTAATGTTATTATACGAGGAATCGATGAACTGGCTAATGAAGATGGCTGCAGCTGTTTAGGAGAAGAGACTTACGTTGAGATTGTGAAGGGTTTTATTGAGAATGGGAGGATGAAGGATCTGGCTAGTTTGATTATCAAAACCCAAGAGTTGGAATTAGCAAAAGCAGTAGGAGTTGATAGTTCAGTTGGTTTCAGAATCATTAGTGCTTGTGTCAGTCTTGGTTTCTTGGATAAGGCACATAGTATTCTAGATGAGATGAATGCTCAGGGAGCTTCAGTTGGGCTCAATGTTTACTCTCCAATCTTGAAAGCTTACTGTAAAGAGCAACGAACGGCTGAAGCAGCTCAATTGGTATCTGAGATCAGTGCTTCTGGCTTAAAACTGGATTCTGGAAGCTATGATTCTCTAATTGATGCTTCGATGTCTGCTCAGGATTTCCAATCGGCCTTCTCTCTTTTTAGAGAAATGAGGGAAGCAAGAGTACCCGAGCTGAAAACAAGCTACCTTACTATAATGGCAGGATTAACGGAGAGCCATAGGCCTGAGCTCATGGCATCCTTTCTAGATTCAGTGGTTGATGACCCGAGAGTTGAGATTGCAACCCATGATTGGAACTCCATCATTCATGCCTTTGCCAAGGTTGGAAGAATTGAGGATGCTCGGAGAACCTATAGAAGAATGGTGTTCTTGAGATTTGAGCCTAATAACCAGACATTTCTTTCGCTTATCAATGGGTATGTAGCATTGGAGAAGTACTTTAGTGTTTTGATATTGTGGAATGAGGTGAGGAGAAAGATGATTGAGTTTGATCACAACTTGTTGGATGCATTCTTGTATGCTTTGGTTAAGGGAGGGTTCTTTGATGCAGCAATGCAGGTGGTGGGCAAGGCCCAAGAGCTGAAAATGTTCATAGATAAGTGGAGACATAAGCAGGCGTTTATGGAAACACACAAGAAGTTGAAAGTGGCAAAGCTTCGAAGGAGAAATTTTAGGAAGATGGAATCAGTAATAGCCTTTAAGAATTGGGCTGGTCTTAATGTTTAAGTCTGTGATGTTCCTTGCACTTCTTTGGACTAACCTAAGGAAATTAATACAACTGAGTGCAATCTCTGAGATGCAAGATTAGTTCCAATTCTGGGATATATTCCTTTACGAACAGAACAGCTGCAACCGATGCAAAATTAGGCAAAAGAGGCTTCGTGTACCCCCGGAGTCTGGTATGATTTATAGATCATTTCATTCAGAAATGGTAGCATGAATAGTGAAGATGCATAATTTTTATCTACTTTCTCCTTTATTTCTTTTCTAACAATTGTTGAACATTGTGCTAGTTCTTACTCAATCAGTGGGAAAATTGGACCAGAGAACAGACCCAATCGTGTAAATATTTATTTGCACTAGCAGCTATAGAAGGAATGATAAATCCCACGACCTGATTAACCAAAATCTGTGATCAGTTCAATTCTGCAACTTGGTTGACTAGAACCAGTTGGGCTTTTTCACTAACGAAATCTAAGATTATTGGATATCAACATGTTCATCTTTCGCGACGGTAAAGTTGAAGGTGATTTGGAGTTGAAGTTTGAGACATAGTTGCTACTTGAAAGAGAGATCTAGGATCCCACGTCCCACTAAATGGTTATGAGTAGTGTTTCTATCAGAATCGGTCGCATGCTTTGCCCCCCTAACTTGCCCATCGAAGGGCTCAGCACCGGTCGCCTTGTGCGGCCGGTTCTGATAGGATGGGTAGTCCGATGGCACTGCTGTTGTAAACTGGTGAGTCACAGTTCAGTCAATTTCACCAATTCATGTAAAATTTGTTGTGATGCCTAAATTTTATATTTTATTTATTACTTTAGCCTGAACTGAAGTGAGACTTTTTCCAGAAGAAACTTGACTTTTTAAAGATTGAAGGTTGAAATTGGTTTAATTTTTATAACCATTTTCTTGCAACAATTTTGGGTGGTAACTTCTTCAGCTCAAGTATTGGCATCAGTTTGACTTTTTGTGCTGTTTCCACGTCTTTCTTCTCCTCTGTTATTAGACTCTCATGGTCTATTAGTGAAACAGTTTGATCATTTATGTGCTGATAGTTTGCATGAAATTTCTCATTCTGAAGGACATAGCAAACGCATAGGTGAATCATCATCTGAACGAATGGGATGTACTACCGAGAATATAGCAAACCTTCAAATTTATCAGTTATATTAGGAAATATGCTGAAAATGTACTAGGGGCTGTTTGGTTCCCTGTTTTTGAGGGAAAGTTACTGTTAAAAGCCTGCCAAAAGTGTCACTTTTTGGCAGGCTTTCAAGCAAAATCCTCTTTTTTAGAGGCGTTTTTGCTTAAATGCTACAAAAAAAGTGATACTTTGACAGGCTTTCAAGAGAAATTTTTTTTTAACCAAACAGCCCCTTAGTGTTGTGGTAAGTTACAAGAATCAGAACTGCATGTAGCATCGCTTTTTTGATTTTACCGGTCTCCAGTTTTATCTATTCTTTTAGGTTATGTTTGGTTTGAGAGAAAGGAAAGTGAAATAGAAGTACTGTTTGTTTTGAAAGAAAGGAAAAAGGAAAAAGAAAATAAAATTCACTGTAGAAAAACTAGTATGTATTTTTTCTTTCCCCCTTTCTCTACGCTGCCCTAGTGAAAACGAGGGAGAGCGACGGAAACGCTCGCCCGAAGCGAACCTGATCTCTCCTCGTCGTCTTGCTCGTCGCCTCCAAAACTCGAGTCCATCTTCTTTCTCTTTCGCCTCCTCGTTCTCTCCTCTCTCTCTCTCTCTCTCTCTCTCTCTCTCGATCAAATCCTAGTTCGACGCCGACCAAACTAGGGCTCCAAACGAGCTCTCGTTAGCTTGAGATCGTGAATGTTCCCTCGCTCTTCTATGGATCATTCATCGCCGATCACATAACACGGGGGAAGATCCGAGGGTGAGCTTCGATTCATTGTCTGAATTGTTATTTTTGATTTATTTACAGCAACATAGTACGATTCATTGTCTGAATTGATGTTTTCGTTTGGTTTACTCACAATTAGGCTTGTCTTTGGTGATATTTTTGATCTTTTCCGATCCGCTCCAGATTTCAGCTGCAGGTTTCTCTTGGATCTCTCTGTCAACATGAATCCACATTCATTCGAGGTAAATTCTGCTCATATTTTTGTTGGTTTTTGAAGTTTAATTTGGGTTGGATTAAGCATGGGGGTTTATGATATTTAACCTAGTTTTAATTGACCTTTATTTTTGCTATATATTGTTTAATTTACAGAAATAAGTCACTGGAAATTTGCTTTTCTTAAGAATATGTAATATACAATTCCATAATATCTACTTAGCAATGGGCGTGATTGTTTTTTCATTATGCTTGCACTAATTTTTATAATTGGGAAAAATCATAATTTAGCAAAACAAAGGGAAAAAGTACTGCGGTTAGTAATATTATACCTAAGGTCTTATGTCATTATGCATGATTATTAGATTATAAAAATTGTTAGGAATTTGTGGGGGAGCTCTCCCTGTTTAAAGTAAGATTTCACAAGGGAAAAAAGAGGGGACAACTAGTGAAAGCTCCATTCTGTTTTGATGTTTAGCTAAATGCTAAATTAACCCAAGAAGTTGTCCCTTGATAACTCACGGAGGTGGGCCATGAAAGTAGCCATATAACTTAATTAATTTTGTATACCTCAATTTTTGAATCACATATACATGTTTATGTCACACATCTAGTCTTTAACTGCAACAATGCACTTTTATTTTTGTAGTCTAGTCTCTATCTAGTCTTCTCTATGATGAAGGAGGTTTTTGCTTCCTTAGATTACTGGAGCAACCTAATGATGGTTGCAAATTCCCGAGTAAATGTTACATATAAAGCTTTTGGGTGTTGATGGTATTTGCTAAAGTCTAGTGTCTTTAGAGAATATTTCCACCCGAAGTGGTCTCATTTTCCATTACCAGGTGCCAGGAGTAGGAGGAGCAGCAAAATCGCTGCACATTATAGTATACAAGTAATAGTAACTATACCTATATATATATATGATATATATAATATATAACTATATATATATATATAATTATATATATAGAGAGAGAGAGAGAGAGATAGAGAGAGAAAAAGTATGGAGAAACTTGGTAGGCGCAAGTTTCTCATTAAACATTGATAGTGAGGTGGCCGCAAGATCCCCACTACCAGAAGGCTAAGCATCACACTTGAAGAGAGAGGCCTCAATCAGCTATTCAGCGGAGTCTACTTTTAGAAAAGTAGGGCTCCAATTCTTTCAAGGTGTGATGTGGGGGTGATTTGGCCACCCTCAGCTACCAAAAGTTCAACGGCAAGAACTTGGTAGGCCAAGTTTCTCCATATTTCTCATATATAATTATAATATATATATAGTATATATTATAGTAATATATATATATATATATATGATAATATATATATAGCTATATATATATATATTATGACTATAACTATATATATATATATACTATATATATAAGTATGTACATACATATATACAATATGTATGCCATATGTATCCATCTATGGATACATAATGTATTGCATATGCGTACATATGCATATATTATATAATAATGATAATATAGATCTATATATATATATTATAGTATATATATATGATTATATATATAT